TCCCCAAAACTGAACCTGAAAGCTTCTGCTTGAGAAGCAAATGTTTTAACACCAAGGAGAAAAGCAGGCTGTTCCCTTTCTCTGTGACTATCAAAAGCCTGCACTATTTGAAGATGTGTGAGAACAGATTAAGTATAGATCATCATGGGGAATATCTATGTGGTTGCTAGAAATCGAAAACAACTTGATGGCACATAATCAATCAATGAATTAAAAAAACATCCATACCTTTTTTCATTCTGAGAGAATGAACTGTGAGTAAGAAATGTTATAATAATAATGGGTCTAATAATGGGGAAAATTCAACCAAGAGTCTATCATGACACTACACACAGAATCTATACACAGCCAGATTAATAGAATACCACACAGATACAGCTAGTCAAAAGCTAGGTACTGACAAACTTGACTTTTAACAAAACAAATTAACACTTCTGACAATTGTAGTTGCAATATCTCTGGAAGGCAGCAGAAAGAGAGAAAAAATGAAGTACAGTGTTCTATTAAACACTGCAGATATACAATAAAAGAAATAATTTGACTTACCTGAATGGCTTCTGTGATATGATGAGGCCAGTGTCAGCCTTCCCCAAAGCATTATAAGGCAGAGAGAGAGCACCAATACTCCTTTGCTCAAACTTTGGACGTTCCTTTCACTCATTCTGCCGTGCCAAAAATAAAATAAAAATGAAATAAATTAAAATGCCTTACATTGGGGATAGAGAACTTTGAGTCAGAAAGGGGAAGAAGAAGATGCACAGTTATAAGATTTGATCAGATTGTTCTTTCTACAAACAGTGAAATTATATTTCAGCATTTCTATATTACAATCTTCCCTAATGATAAATTACAAATATGTTATCCTTTTGCCTGTGAAATAACTTTTGAATCAGCAAGAAATCCCACAGGCAGGATGCAGATTTTTACACCACCAAGTGCTTCAATGAGCTGTATAAAAAACTGTTTCCATGCTTCTGCTAGTAAAAAATAAAACAGTCCTCTAAGCAAAATTCTAACAATACGAACATAAGGAATATCCAAGCTCACATTTTTTAAGGAAAAGTTTTATTCCCATTATATGTCTGCATACACACATTCAAACATAGGTATGAAACAGCTCAATGGTTTTGGCAATTTACTGACATGGTGCAACTTCAACTTGACTTCTCTTGCTTCTAATCAATCAATTAAATTGATTAAAGCCAAACTGAATGACAGCCATCTCTGGGAAAATACAGATAGTTGCTTCACTTATATGCAGCAAAAAATGTAACCATATCATTCTCACAAAGGAAGGTATAATTTAAAATAAGTCAGAAATCCATTTATTAATGTGAAAGCAGCCATGCCATTATAAAAATGCTTAAAATAAATAAGAAAAGACAAGAGGAAACCATAAACCATTAAGTAACAGGAATGTATGAATCTGACAGAGAAAAAGCTGTTCCATGCTGAAGACAGATTAGAATATGGATCTTCTCTAATCTTGTCTAACCCCTACACCATATTACCCCTAGCCCTTTGAAGTACTCTCCATCAGGAAAAGAAAGCCAACAGCTGAATGCAACAATAGTTACTTCTGCAACTGTATCTAATTTAGAAAATAAGACATTAGATGATCTGGAGTTGTTCTGAATATTAAATGTTCTGGGCCGGGGTGTCAAACTCAAGGCCCGCGGACCGCATCTGGGCCACAGGGCCGGCCTGGAAATAGCAAAGGATTCACCCATAGTGCCTCTGGCAGCCAAAATGTGTGGGGGGCGCCTCCCCCGCACTCCATTTTCAGCCTGAACGACCTCCTGCAGCACTCTGCTGGCCAAAATGGGGCACGGGGGTGCATGGCCCCCACACACCTCATTTTGGCTGGCAGGGTGCTGCAGGAGGCATCCTCCCGTCTCCCCCCCCCCAAGCTGGCCCACAGAGAACTACAATGCTGATCCGGCCTTCAAAGAAATCCAATTTGACACCCCTGTACTGGGCCATGCAATTCATACATTTCCACTGCAAAATATATACCATTCATTCATTCATTCATTCATTCATTCAATTTGTATGCTGCCCCTCTCCGAAGACTCAGGGCAGCTCACAATGCATTTAAAATCATTATAAAAAACATTTAAGAATTAAAAACATTAAAAACATTAAAACTCATTCACAACATTCATGGCCGGATCTCGCCGGATCGCAAGAGCGAGATCAATGGCCCCATGCCTGCCGGAAAAGCCAGGTCTTCACCACTTTTCGGAAGGCCAATAGGGTGGGGATGGTCCGGACCTCAGAGTATAAGATGCACCTTTTTCCACCTTAAAAGGCGGTGAAAATTTAGGTGTATCTTATACACCAAATATAGCCCCGTCCACCCACCCATTGGCCCCACGCCTCTATCTCGCAGCAGTTACCTCCTTGCAAGCAAACAGCAAGAAAAAACAGCTCCTTTCAGCTTCAGCACAACCTAATTAGCACAAGTTGATTGGATGCCTCCCGACTCTCAGCTGATTTGCTCTCAGCTGTTTTGTGCAGGGCTCTGCTGCTTGCTGCAAAGAGGTAAATTGCTGGAGCAATTTTTTTTTCCTTGTGCTAATCAAGCTATGCTGAAAACGAAAATGAAAGTAAAGCAGGCTGTTTGCTGTTTGCTGCAAAGAGGCAAAATTGCTCAGAGGCAGAGGGAGATTTCTTTTTCTTCTTTTCCTCACCAAAAAAGGTAGGTGCGTCTTATACTCTGAAAAATACAGTAATTCACAAATAACAATGGCTGAAATGTTCCTAAGCCTGATACAACATAGTTCTGTTGTAGTTATCTTCATAATGGCCTATCCAAGAACACTAAAAATGACATTATAACTTTCTAAGCATGGCTTGGGGAAAGGTAATATATTTATTTTGAGTAATAGTACGGTCCTTAGCAGTAGTGAAATGTAAATTTTGTTACTACCAGCTCTGTGGGCGTGGCTTGGGGGGGGTAATATGACTGAGTGGGCATGGCCAACTTGTGTTTTTTTTTTACTTTTACTTTTAAAACCAAAGAGCCGAAGAGGTTGTAGAAAAAAATGCTTTTAAAAATAAATTTAAAAAGCCTCTGATGATTGCGCGGCTCAGCTGGGCAATGAGGGGGGGACAGGGATTTTTGCTACCAATTCTTCGAACCACCTGCATCCATCGCTACTGGATCGGGCGATCTGGTCCGAACCGGGAGCATTTCACCCCTGGTCCTTAGTATTCCAATTCCAAATAACCAGCTTATCAGAACTTTTCTCCATCTCAAGAATCAGTCTCACTCTCAGGGGCAAAAGACAAATTGGCTTCGTTCTTTGCATAAAAAAATAGCACTGAAGTTCATTCTATGTATGTATGTATGTATGTATGTATGTATATATATAATATATATCAAAAGAATCTCCTTAGTCTCCCAATGGGCAGCAGGGAGCTTGCTGGGTGCTGGAGGAAAAACAAAGCCTAGAAACTAGTGGATTGGGATTTCATTGAACTAGGGCTGCAGAAAAATTCTTGGTTTACGTAGGAAGAACCTGGCTAAAGATGGGATCTTAGCCAGGATTTTAAACATTTTAACTAACAAACATATAATGAAACGGGAAAACACCCGAGATTTTAACTTTTTACATACACACACCCTGCCGTTACTATTTCAAATCTGGTGCTGGTAGTCTACTTTGCTGGGATGGTCCCACTTCTTCGTTCTGATTGGTTGGGAGTCCCAGTCTGTGTCTATTGGCTTGGCTTCAGGTATATGGTCGGTTTTTCTCCACCAGGTGGCAGGGTTTCATCTTTGTGGCTGGCTGGAATGTGATTTGGCTGGAGGTCTCGGGGTGTGTGTGTCTGGCTTCTGGGGTGTAGATTTTTCTGTCTGTGGGTGCTGGGACTCATTTGTTGACAAGGACTAGTTTCCAGATGTCTGGTAGGTGGGAGGTATCGTCACGTTTATTCATGTTATGGGGGCGTTTTGCTATTTAAATGGCTTCCATAATTATTCTCTTGTTGAGGTGTTCAGTTTTGGAGATTAATTTGGTTCCTTCAAAATCAATTTCCTGTCCTGTAGCTTTAAGGTGCTGGAAAAGAGAGGAAGTTTTTTCTTCTTTTCTGACTGCATTCTTGTGTTCTGCAATGCGTGCATTTATTCTCCTATTAGTTTGTCCAATGTATGTGGCTGGGCAGATTTTGCATGGTATTTCATAGACTCCTTGGTTTTCTAGCTGTAAACTAGCCCTTGTCAATAAACGAGTCCCAGCACCCAGAGACAGAAAAATCTACACCCCAGAAGCCAGCCACACACACCCCGAGACCTCCAGCCAAATCACATTCCAGCCAGCCACAAAGATGAAACCCTGCCACCTGGTGGAGAAAAACCAACCATACACCCGAAGCCAAGCCAATAGACACAGACTGGGACTCCCAACCAATCAGAACGAAGAGGTGGGGCCTCTCTAGGAGTCTCTGGAGGCTGGGGACAGCAAAAAATGTCACTTCCTATCCCACCGGGAGTCGGGAAATGGGCCCTTTCAGGCCTCCGGAGGGCCTCCGAGGGAGTGGGAAAGGCTGTTTTCGCCCTTCCCAGATGCATAGAGAGGATCTGGAGCTAGGTAAGAAAGAAAAATGGGCCTTCCCCCCCCCCCAATCCCAGGCCCTCTGGAGGCAGGAAACAGCCTGTTTCCCTACTTCTGGTGGGCCCAGAAGGCCCGAAAATCAGTTGGCCGGCGCGTGCATGCATGCCAGAGCTAAGCTGGTGTGCCCACTGATATGGCTACGCGTGCCACCTGTGGCACGCATGCCATAGGTTCGCCATCACGGTCCTATACCATTCCAGATAAATGACTGACCAATTTCTTCTTAAAAACCTCTAGTGATAGAACATCCACAACTAATGTTCCTTTTCTTTTTTGGTCAAGATTGATTTAACTCTCCCATAAAATTTTTTGACAAGCATTTCCCATTACTACAAATCCCATAACTAGATAAGCATTTAAGCAATTGCTACTTACCTCCTATTGGGACTTTACAGCTACTGTCTGTGCATTGGCCAATCTCAGGTAGACTTGGTGTTTGAAAAGAAGGGGAAACATTAGGGCATCTAAAAATGAAAAAAGCACCAGTTTACATTTTTTTATTGGTGAACTGAAAAGTAACTTGCAAATATTGAAAGCCTCACAGTATCTTCTAAATGTTGAACTTTTTCATAAAATATTGCAGGCCAGATTTCTATATATGTTATCAATTTTTATTTTATTTTTACGTTCCTTCTTCTCTTTCCCTATCCAAATACTCCATCACCATCTATTATTTTATTCAGCCATCCAATATCAAATTCATGGCAAACAAATCCATGCTTATTTTATGTATATATTGAAGAAGGTTTTTGAGTAATATTATTTTGCATAAAATGTTTCTGTTTTACACTTCCACCAATAGGAAACATTGGTATTTCAGTTTGCATGTGGAAATGTATGTATTTTAAACAACTGCTTTCCAATGAAGTTAACTGAGTTCACAGAATAACTATTGGTAGAGAAATCAATTCGGTTGTTCCCAAACATACTAGGGAGAAACTGACTAGAAAGTTAGGTCTGATAGGTTTTATAGGTGTGGCTAGAGAACTATCTATCTCTAAAACCAGATCAAAAGAACTCTCAACCACATAACCAAGAAAGGTCAGATGACACACACAAAAAGAACCATGGTAAATGAAAAACAGCTGGAATCCTTTCCTTTCCTAATAAGTGAAAACCTGAAAACAACAGTTATGGCACAATATATGAAGATTAGCTGCACTCACTCTTAAGATTTATGTGCAATTGTAGGCAAGAGAAAGGACTGAGTGAGTGAGTGGGAAATAGAATAGTTAGTGAAATTAAAATATAAGGACATTTTGATATACCGTATTTTTCGGAGTATAAGACGCACCAGAGTATAAGACGCAGCTACCTTTTTTGGTGAGGAAAAGAAGAAAAAGAAATCTCCCTCTGCCTTTGAGCAATTTTGCCTCTTTCATTTCATAGCTTGATTAGCACAAGGAAAAAAAATCTGCTCCAGCGATTTACCTCTTTGCAGCAAGCAGCAGAGCCCTGTGCAAAACATCTGAGAGCAAATCAGCTGAGATTTGGGAGTCGGGAGGCCGATCCAATCAACTTGTGCTAATTAGGCTGTGCTGAAGCTGAAAGGGGCTGTTTTTTCTTGCTGTTTGCTTGCAAGGAGGTAACTGCTGTGAGGCAGAGGCCAAAGGGTGGGGGCCAGTGGGTGGTGGGGCTACATTTTTCACCCTTTTGGGGTGAAAAAAAGTGTGTCTTATACTCCGAAAAATACGGTAGTATGATGAAAAAAGCCTGAAGTTTTGCCATCATTTTTAGAAAACTTTGTAGAGAATTGAAATATATACATTAACTTGTATAAAATATACAGAAATAAATAAATGATAGCTACTCCGTTCTTGTGAAAGACAAGAATGGATTATTAACCTCTAGATTAAGAGGAAAAAGAATTTCACAAACAAGGAAGGAGTAAGTCCTTCTCTTATTAAAATAAATGTAATTTCACTTGCAGAAAGAAAGCATTCTTTCAGTTGAGTTTGTCCTATATCTAGAGGAATTACAATGCTCTGGTCCTATCTGATACCATTCATAAAAATCCATCAATTCTAGAATATCCAGAAGTCGGTTTGGAGAATACAGGATATATAACTGTCTGTCTGGGCTGGGATGTTTGGAGTATTTAAAAGATTTTATTTCAAAATCCTTTTAAAATGATTTGGATACATTTAAAAAAGGCAATGGGGTTGGGGGGGAAGTTCCCAATTTTATTTCCACATTTTAATATCTGTAAGTTGGCAAAACAGAGCTGCTGTCTAGAACACTAGAGCCTATGGCAACTGAGAAACAAGCCACACTCAAGCCTTTATTTCTGTTTTTCAAATTTTGATCTTTAACTAAGAAATGACTCATTGACCAAGAAATGAAAAGAACAGCAAGCAGAGAAACAAACCTGTCCAATGCAAACACAATTTACCAGGGATGGGGGAAATGACAGCTTCACAACCTTGCATATTACCTGCTGGGATTTAGCAGAGTCTGAAGAACTACAGAAGCTATAAAATTTTAATGCCCAATTTGAATTTATTAACACTCAGACAGAAAGCAAGTGCATGTTGCTTGTAGTGATATAGATTCCCACCCGGACACAGAGCCAACTCACAGCTCTTTCTGATCAAAACCTGAACTAGGTTTCTCTAATGATTTATTTCTTTAAAAAATATATATTTGTTATGAACCTATTAATCTATCTTGTTGGTTTCAGGGAGCTTCTACGTCTCCACAAGAAACTGCCTGAAAGGTTTCTGGATGCCAGTGCAATTGTTTTAGATGCACAGAATGACAACAAAAGAGAAAGACTGCTAGGTTTGTGGATCAACACACTATTATACACTCCTGTTTTCTCATTAATTCCTACTTACAGGAGATGAATATAGTTATATCAAGATACAAATTAAAGATTTATTTTGAAAAGCATCTTTTGCATCATTATTTATCTCCCAAATATAAACCAATAATCCATGAATTACAGGCTCTGACTCAGCATTTTAGGAAGACACTAAACAAGGGTGACATAGTAATTTGTTATAATGGTGGTTAAAACATACAATATCTTTGTACAATTAAGGGGGAACATTGTGAAGCTAATAAGATCTAAGTCTTTTAGTGAATTATACCGATATGAAGCACAGTTGGGGAGCCCAATATTTTGGCATCACAATTTTTCCTTTCCCATCTTCGAATTTCCTTCACAGTAGGAATTCCTCTAGCAATAGGAAATTCTTTAGCAAAAGAAATATTTTAAAACATATTTGTGAGGGGGAGGTGTGGGTGGGTGTGCATGTGTATGTGTGTGTATATATGTGTGAGCCCAGGACTAATGATTTTATATATATATATATAAAATCATTAGTCCTGGGCTCTCTCACACACACACACACACACACACACACATATTATATATATAAAATACAGTCTGGTATATATATATTACAGTCTGATTTATGACTGGTCTTCAAACTTATGATCATCGCAACATCCTTGCAGTCATGTGATCGCAACCTGGACACTTGATACCAGCATGCCTTTATAAGGGTTGCAGTGTCCCACATGACCACCATTTGTGACCTTTCACCTGGCTTCCAACAAGCAGAGTCAATGCGAAAAGACATATTTGCCTCATAATTACAGCGAAAAAGTCGTAAAATCAAGCAAAATCACATGATGACCCACTTAATGACCATATCGCATCAGACATTCTGATTCCAAGTGGGGTCATAAATTGAGGACTATCTGTATCATTTTAGGTTGATAATACAAAAAGGTTAATGTGATTTTGGACAAAAGAAAGCTAGAAGGTGGAACAAGAAAATGTGAAATTAATATCCCTGACATAAGTGCTGAAATCTGGAGAATCCTTGAATTCATGAGGGTGAGATAGGTTCCACAAATGAAGGATATCTGTACAACATAGGCATTGATATTTAGCATTTGTAATCTTATACTATCCCATCAAAAAGCCCATCCAGGGAAACAAGCTGGTTATCACAGTAGCTTTGAAAATCTCTGAGATGATTTCCTAAGGCTTGAATGGGAGGAGAGAACTTTTGGCATCATACATTTCATTTATGTATATTTATTTAGCCAGGTACTTAATGAGCAACTTTATTCTACCCTTGTATTAGTGCTGGTACAACTTTACTGTTTCTATTGCTATTGTAACGACTGTTTATCTGAATTATATAGTTAACGTTGTTTTAACATTTTATTGCTATTTTAATTGAATTTGGGACAGCTGCTCTGACAATGTTAATAAGGTGGTAAAAATCCTACTGTTTTGAACTTCGATGCTCTACGCCACTATTGTAACTGCTTTCCCTAATGAAGTGTCTTAAAATATATAAACCTTCAACTCCCACTGTGCTGAATTATGGTAACTGAAATCCAAGGAACCTGAAGTGCACCACACTGGGAAAGACTGTCAGAGTTTTAAGATCTTTTTCCTTCTTTTATTTAGCCTACATTACCCAATGTCACTTCTGATTGTTCACTTCAAAAATACCTGCTGAAACCACAACAGACAAGCATATATGCACTGAAGCACTTAGATCTCTGTTAAAAATGCATTAATACTATAGCGCCTGTGGAGTGCCATCTGGTGACCTTCTTTAAAAACCTGGACCATTTTAGAGAAAGATGTATCAAAAATCATTTGGAGGGCTGCTGTAAAATGTTAGTAGAGCAACTCATGGATAAAAATCACCCAGATCCGCTTGGAATTGGTTTCAAAATTTAATAAAGTTATGAAGAAAAAGAAGATGTCTGTACAGAATTGATGAGGTGGTTGGGCAACATCTTATGTTATCCTCTGGGAAGAATTTGAGCCTCTTGCTCCTGAGGAAATGGCAGAGTTCTGAGCTCTATCACCTGCAGGCTAGACCTTCTCCTCTCTGGTCTGTACACCTGTTAAGAATTATGGGGAAGGCATGGTGAACTGGAGACATCTATGCGAAAGTGGAGCTGAACCCTATTTTTGATATATATGCCTCAATCTAATTGGAGTGCCAGCAATGTATAATCATCTGCTGCAGTTCTAGCATTGAAGCTGAGGTGAATCTTTTCTTTCTTTCTTTTCTTTTCTTTTTTAATGAAAGTAAAAAAGCTCTCATTTTTTGTCAATGTCTTAAAGCCTGTGCTGGAATTTTCATGGAAGGTATTGAAACAATATATTGAGCTGTGCAAGGATTATCATTTTTCCACTGCAATTCACCCCAAAATATTGAAATATTTTGAAACCCAATTTTTTTATCTTCTTGTTCAATTTCTTCCAAATTTGTATATAATTATTAGTAAAAACTCTATTAATATTTCAGTAATAATCATACCTATATATTTTAAAGATTTGTGTTCTATTGGAATCCACAAATCTGTAGAGATTTCCTATTATGTTTTGGAGGGCATATGAAAACACATCAGATCCGATTTGTGAAAATTAATTGATAATGCTGACACTTCCACAAATTCCTCTAACTCTTTCTTAATATAGTTA